CCAACCAATCTAAACCTTAACATTTCAATATAATATCAACAGAAAGTAATGCGGAAGACTTAAACTCATTAATAAAAACCAATTCAATAACTTCTAAAAACTCAACAACTATTATTATCCCCAAAATCTGGAAGTCATCATCACAAGAACATCTACTTCAAATTACTAAAGCTAAGAGTATGTAGAAGCTAAAATACATAAAAAGCTTGTCCATGCCGGAACTTCAAGGCATCAAGACATGAAGAGGAAGATCCAGTCCAAGCTAGAAGCATTAGCTCACCCTGAAATCCGGAATAATGAAGACTGGCTAGAGTTGCGGTTGAGTTGAAGACGACGGCACGTTTGCTGCACTCCACAAATAATCAAAAAGAAAACATACAAGTAGGGGTCAGTACAAAACACGGCTACTGAGTAGATATCATCGGCCAACTCAAAATAGAAAACAGTATATATCAGATAATATCATAAATCAACTACAATACTCAATCTGTATCAACATCATGTACAAGAATCTTTGATAAATAACGTTAAGTACATTCATGAGGACTCAAGCCTCCATATCATACTCATTTGGGAATTAGGTTTATTAGATTGAGTATATTAACATCTTTCAAGATTCATCACCTTTATTCTTGTGTCGGTACGTGACACTCCGCTCCCTTACTATTATGTGTCAGAACGTGACACTCCGATCCCCTAGTTCTACGTGTCGGTTCGTGACACCCGATCCCCTTATTCTACGTGTCGGTTCGTGACACCCGATCCCCTAATTCTACGTGTCGGTTCGTGACACCCGATCCCCTAATTCTACGTGTCAGTTCGTGACACTCGATCCCCTAATTCTACGTGTCGGTTCGTGACACCCGATCCCCTAATTCTATGTGTCGGTTCGTGACACCCGATCCCCTAATTCTACGTGTCGGTTCGTGACACCCGATCCCCGAATTCTACGTGTCGGTTCGTGACACCCGATCTCCTAATTTCGTTCCATTAATTCCTCAAGCCTTCTTTTATACCAAGGCATCGTCAATCTCATTACTTTAGTTCATCAAGCCTTCTTTTATACTAAGGCATCATCAATCTCATTACTTTAGTTCATCAAGCCTTCTTTTATACCAAGGCATCATCATTAACAAGGGGTTTTCAAGATTTGGAATTCAATAGCTTCGTCATGCTTATTTCATCACAATTATATAATCACATTCATGCAAGCATACAATTAAGCATATAGAAGACTTACAATACACCCAACACATATCATTCGCTATTAAGAGTTAACTACGAATAGTATAAAAGCCATAACCTACCTCCACCGAAGATTAGAAATCAAGCAAGCAAGTTCCCAAAGCTTTGTTCTTCTTCTCATTTCTCCTCTTTCTCGTTCGTTTCTCCCTCTCTTTCTGTTCTTTTCTTTTTCTTATTCAAACCCTCTCTCTTTTACCCTAATTAGCATATAATTAAGTATAAAAGATGGTGAATTAGCCCATTAATTAACTCAATGTTACCTCTTTTAACCCCCAAGTAGTTAGACTTATTAACATTAACCCACTAGCTTTATAATTAAAGCAGGAATAGTCCAAAATGCCCCCTAAATTACTTAACAGAAATTCGACTCAGCCTGGGATTACGCAGCCTGTGACGGGCCGTCGTGCCTGCGACGGTCCGTCCTGCTGCTCCGTCACAGAGTTCAGAGACTTAATTCTCTGAAGAGTCTGTGACGGTCCGTCCTGCCATTCCGTTACGAAGTTCAGAGAGTTGATTTCAGTATCCATTTTTCAGAATTTCTAAGTGTTTTGAAACGAGACCCTCGACGGTCCGTCGTGCCCATGACGGTCCGTCGTGGGTTCCGTCGTCTCAGCCTGTTTTCCAGAAATAAAATCTGTTGCTCAAAACGACTAAACAGGTCGTTACAAATAACTTGAACCTCTTACCTAGAATCAAATTGGTTTCGTAGATTTTTCTTTCAAGTTAATTATTAATTGGTTTCCTAGTTTTCCTAAAAGGTGACGACTCCATTTAATCCCTTTGAACTCCCTTTCCCCTTTTAATATCCTTCTACTCGTTTTAAAATTTTTTTAACTTAAAGTTTTATTTATTTTGAGTCACCACGATGTTTCACCTTATTTTGACAGAGTAGGGATGTAAACATGGGTTCTATGAGGGAACTCGTTGTGATGATTATGTTCATATCTAATTGGCTTGAAAATTGAGAAATTGTAGGTTTACCTAAAATGATAATTGAATTGTGCATATTTTATATGTATGTTTACCATATGGTAATTAAATGATTTATATCTAGTTAATTGAAATTGATTGTGAATGAGCAGGTCTACAAATATATGATTTGGTTAGTAGAGATCGAGGATTCATGAATTATTACAAAATATGGTTAAAAGGGTTGTAAGTGTTCTTGAATAATAAGAAACAGGGTAGTGTTCATGGTCTAAATAGTAGTTAGATTTTACCTTGGATAGGAGGTTCATATTTGAAATAGTTAGCAAACCTTGATAGGGTATAATGTGTAGTCAAGGGTTAATTTATGGTGCAAAAAAAGTGAGGGTGTGTTGTGAGTGATTGGCTGGGTTGATAGTGATTGTATTCAAGAACTCATCCACGAGTTAGAACTATTAGGCTATGATTAAGAGCGAAGCGACTTAGGGGGTTAGAGTCAAGTGTTATGATACGCTTAAGGTATATGCTAACGGTAAATGTGGGAGGATAAAGGTTGAGAATGTATTTTTCTATTACATGTTTTCTGCTGGTTGATTTCTTTATATTATGTGATGCACATCGAGTTGACCGATGATGCCTACCAGTACCTGTGGTTTGTACTAATACTGCTCTTATTATGTCTTTTGACATAATCTGATTGTAAGGTCAACAATATTTCAAAGGTGAAGACAGAGACAATCACCAACAGCTTCTACTTTTCCTTTCCTGTGGTGGAAGTTGTGTCGTTAGTTACCGAATTTTATATATTGTAATTGTAGAAGCTCTTGTACCTATTTAAATTAGGAGTTTGTTTGGTATGAAGGAAAACATTTCTCGAAATTTTTTTTCAATTTTCTCATGTTTGGTTGGGCTAAAAGTTTTGGAAATTTTTTCTAAATCAACTCATTTTCCTCAAAATTAAGGAAAATGATTTCCCCTTTAACAATTAAGGAAAACATTTTTCAAAACTTTC